TAAGTGTTATATTAAGTTTAATTGTTACTTTGGCAGAGATTGGATAATATACTAATGGTCTTGATAATCAATTATGGAGAATATATCTTAATCAAATAAAAACTGAAGGAAAAGGAATATTTTGATTTCAGGTTTATAGCATAGGAAGAAGAGGGAGATTACATCAAAGTACAAACAGACAGCAGTGGAAATAAGATACATCTAATTTATGGCACAGTGACACACCTGTCACCCTACAGACTTGGGAGTCTGAAGCAGGAGAATCACAAATTTGAAGTTAGCCTTAGCAACTGGCGGGACCCTCAGCAACATAGCAGACCCTGTCTCAAAATAAAAATATTAAAATGACTGGGGATGTAGCTCAGTGATAGAGTACCCATGGGTTCAATCCTCATTACTGAAAAGAAAGAAAGAAAGAAAAAGGCACTCTGCAATTCTGAAAAACCTAAACACTCTTTTAAGGATATTATCATGTAGAGATCTAGGCATAGCTTCAAATATATCCTTTAATCGATCCATTAAAGCTGCATTTTTGATGGCAGGCAAAGCCATCATCTCCACTCATACTTTGAACGAATATAGCATCTTCCCTTCAGGAATTCCAAGTTCCCACAAATTCCATACATAGGAGTTATTTATTACAATGCTAAATATATAAAATGTGAGACTCTTCGTTGAGCAAATCCCTGGATATATGTGAATTATAGCTTACTTCAAGGACTTTTTCTTTGGGTTCCTCCTGATTGTCCCCACTGAACAGAGACCTATACCTACTCTGTATGTTTTTAGAGACTTATGCCACAGGAGAACACCCAAGCAGACTTACAATTTAGATTTTTTTTTCCCTTAAAAATTTGAGAGGACTAGATGATTATTTTTTCATTAAATACTCTAAAAGTTTTAAATTTGTACTTTTATCTATGTTATACTTAGCATGTAGTAGGTACTCAGTATATAATAGTTCAATGAATAAAAATTTGTTATCATTTTCAAAGCAACTGAAACATCCCATATGCTTTGACAAGTGGCTTATACTCTGTCTTGGTTCTCTCTACTATAAAATAGGGATACCATTTGTATCTACCCCCACTGACTTGGGGTAGATTTATATATATATATATATCTCCCCACACACACACACACACACATACACACACACACATAGGGTTGAAGAAGAATATATATAATGCATCTAGAAAAATGCCTGGCACAAAGGAAGCACTGCATATAAATGTTAAAAGATGAGAGTGGAGAATCTTTCCCCTTGTGTTGGATCACCAAAAGTTTTTCAACAAGAAGGAGAAAATACAGGAGCTACAGTTTGAGAAGATCCTGGCAGTACTGAATACAACTGATCATCAGAGAGACACTAGTTAAAAGGCCTGGTGGTACATACCCATAATCCCAGTGACTTAGAAGGCTGAAGCAGGAGAATCAAAAGTTCAAGCCAAGCTTTAGCACTTAGCAAGAACTTGTCTCAAAATAAAAGAGGGCTAGAATGGACCTAAGTGGTAGAGCACCCCTGGGTTCAGTCCCCAGTACTAGAAAAAAAAAAGTCATGAGACAAATTATATTCTATAACTTCTTAAACCAATTCTAAAGGCAATCTAAAAGAAATTTGCTAAAAATTTTAAAAACATGTTATCTTTATCAGTGGGATAAATGTATAACTTCCCCAAGTAATTACTATGTGTGTGCATGTATTACTGGACTTTAAGCATGCTAAGAGCTCAACCCCTAAGCTACACTCCCAGTCCATCTTAAAAATCTTTTATTTCAATACAGAGTCTCCTAAGTTACCTAGGCTAGCTTCAAACTTGTGATTCTCCTGCCTCAGCCTATCAAGTGGCTGGGAGTACAGGCTTGAGTCAATTCTCCCTGTCCTGCACTACTATTTTAATGAAAAAAATTAATAAAGTTGAAATGTAAGTCATTAACACATAATGATAATTTCTTGAATACGTACTTATAAAATAGAGGCAAAATATATTGGAAGATAAAGAACCAGTATTTGTCCCTTTATTCATTTTACTTACATGTCCTGCTGATATTTATATCCCTTGGATGCTGTTATATCTTGTTGATTTTCTATTACTATTTGTTTTTTTCCCAATATTTAAAAAAATGTGCTTTGTAAAAAAAAAGAAAATTTTTAAAAAGGAGGGAAAGGAGTAAAAGCCAGAATTTGTTAACTTTAGGTACTTCTAAATCCAGGGAGGGGATTTCATTTACATTTGGGTAATCTCAAAGGCTTTGCATAGCTTTACAAGGATGTATTCTTACACTATGATTTTCTATATTCTATTGCAATTTCCTGATACCATTATTGAGTTTATTAATATTCTCCTTACTATATGGTTTACCCATGTGCAGTTCACTAAATACTGCCCTCTGCACTAATCCATCAGCTTTCTCTTATCACCTTGCACCTGCTCTGGCATGGTGATAAAAAACCAAAAGCCTTTCCTATAAGAATTTCATATGATGCATTGAGCATTGTATTTTACCACTTTCCAGACAAATGAACCATATTGCAAGTTTTAAAAAAGAAATTGCTAGAAATGGTTCGAAGATAAACATGCTGTTCAAATATTAAAATTATCAATTGGTGAATACATAATGGCACATTTGCACAATAAAAAGAGAATGATTAGCAATTTGCAATCAATTAGGAAGGACTCTTGTGAGTCCTTAGGGGCGGACTGTCATTTCTACCAAAGAGGTCCAAGTAACTAAATGACCTGTTTTCACTTCTTATAAGGAAAGAAAGTTTGAAACAATGTGTAATGTCCTAAAAATGAAACAGAGGTCCTTGATGATTTGAGAGCAGAAATCTGGATGAAGATCAATGAGAACTCTATTTTGCCTCTTGTTGAACAGGAAGGACTTAGTAGGAAAAACCTTAGTCATCAGTTCAGGAAGAAAAAAAAAAAAGAAAAGAAAACAAGTGGAAAAACAAAAAAGACTCCCATTACAGTTATTGGAAGGAACTGGAACCTCTTCCTCAAATCTGACATAGGATTTTCTAAATGATGTTTGCTACCTAAGCCTCATTCTGCAAATGATAACAACAACAACAACAACAAAAATTCAGCAGTGGGGGCAGCAATAATTCAGTGCTTTTGGAATATAATTACTTCTCAGTTTAGAGTTAATAGTGTGCTACCTGTCTTCTACCAATTCCAGAGGTGATGATTCATGCCAGGCCCTGTGGTAGGAGATTTGAGTTGGGGAAGAGCGATACATTCAGTCTGCTAATCCTGCAGCAGAATATCAGGACAGTGAAACTGGAATGAGATAAAACTCATGAGAGTCATGTTCCTAATTCCTGGATAAATCGGCAAAGAAAACATGAATGTGGAAGAGGGTGAGGTTGAATTCTCATCCCTGGGTGTTATTCTCTCCTCAAATTCCCTGAAAATTCAAAACTAACTCTGGATTATACACAAAAACATTACCTGCTTTGACCAGTTGTTTTTCATTCAATAACTATGGGGTTCTTTTTTTCTAGCTGGTAAGAGCAGTAAAACTTGTACTAATCAAAAAAGAAGCAATAAAAACTTCAAGTGTTTACAGGGATATTTCTGGAAAATAAAAACAGGAATTTCATCGTCTATTGAAAATGACAAAACAACAACAACAACAACAAAAACATTCAAAATTCATGGAAATAACTTGCATTTTGTTGCTCTTTTTCATTCTGCAGAATCCTTCTTACTAAGATTTTCAGAGGGGCTTGGAATATAAGTGTGCACACAACTATGCCAAGAATTTAAATTGAGCCGAAGGGCTTCATGCAAAAAACATTTCTTTGTGTGTGGAGCTGGGGATCAAGCCCAAGGCCTTGCTTGTCCAAGCAAGGTGTTCTGCCACTGAGCTACATCACCAGCCCCCAAAAAGACTCTTGAATTCTCTGTTTTTCAGTTGCCTTCATATAACCAGTTGTTATGCAGATAAATCACAGTGAGATATTGATTATTGAATGTATGCAAGTACTTTCTAAATTGTGAAGTATTATGAAATGTATCAGCTTTAAGATTGCCCTGTTCCTGTTCATTCATTCAACAATATTTACTAAGCACTTAATATATGTCAATTAATATTCTAAGTAATAGAGACATAATAATGAATAAAACTATATACTCATATAAATAAAATGTTCTGCATAAATTAAGTACATGAATAAAAATACATAAAAAACATACATTTAAAAAAAGAAGTTAGATATGATGGTGTCTGCCTGTAATTCAATCTACTTGGGAGGCTGAGGCAGGAGGATTATAAGTTTCAAGCCAGCCTGGGCAACTTAATTAGAACCTGTCTCAAAATTTGAAATGAGCTGGGGTACAGTTTACTGATAGAGCACCTCTGGGTTCAATCCCTAGTACAAACAAAACAAAACAAAACAAAAAAAACTTCAGAAAATAAAGAATGCTGTAAAGAGAAAAAAAAGGAGAATATTTAGGTAAAGTGTGGGGTAGGAAGTGGGCAGGGGAGGAGAGACATTTTACATAGGTTTTCAGGAACAATCAGCCTCCTGAAAAATAGACATACTAAGATGTGAGTTGAGAAGCCAGACATGAATTCCAGGGGGAGGAGACCAGCAATGTGAAGACCCTAGGACAGGAGCAAGTGTGGCACATTCAAAGAATGACAGGAGCAGGAAATGAATATAAGCAAAGCTCACTGAGATGTGTAATCTTGTCGCCCCCAAAGTGGCAAATGAATGAAGAGAAGAAACATTCCAATCTCTTTATTTGTAAATTATTCTCTTTTTTTTTCTATTCTTTTTTCTTTCACATGAATCCCTTCAAGATAAAGAAATAAGATAAAACATTCTGAAGGACAGGATTATCTTGCCTGTTTTACTACTTTTTCCTCAAGTCTTTCCCTGTGAGTAACTGTATCACCATTTCTCCTCTTTATTCAGAAATATCCTCTCCGATTTTTATTTCCCTTCCTGACAAATGAACAGAGAATAAGCAGATTATTTCTTTTAGGCCTTCTAATAATCTTGTCAGAAGAAATAAAAGAAAGAAAAATGCTGAAGAAATAGACCTGACAGTAATTACATATTTCGAAGTAAGTTTTGCCTTTGTAATGATAGATTCAAGTCACTGTGTTCCGTCAGGTATGTGCCACTGTCCCTGTGAATTTAGGCGAGTAACTTAATTTCTCTTACGTTTTAGAACTTAAGTTTCTTCTATGATGTATGGTGGTTCTATTGTCTCTCTGGTATGATCAGGTGAGACCAGGCACCTGAAGACTTTAACACAGTTCTGGGCACATAGAACAGTGTTTAGTGGAGCACTTACTCTTATGTTATCATGAAGATCTTCATTCTTTCCAGTCACCTCCTAGTAAACCTTTATTGCACACTTTTTCCAGCAGCCCCATAAACTTTTACACTGGCTCCCCTCCCCCAGCTCACGCCACTGATCAAATATATTTTCCCCAGCGTCCAACTCAGAGACACTGTATATTTATGAGACCATCTTTTGGTAACAAAAATGCCAGAAGTCCGCTATCTATTAAAACCCTAGTATGAATCAGGCTCCTGTCAAGGTCCTGACAAAGCCTAGACTGTGCTCTACCAAGGATTCCAGAGCATAGGTGAAAACATATGCCTACATAGCCCTTGATCTCCTGAGCTGCATTTGGCAAGTCTCCAGGTGTTCGTTTCTCTCTAATTAATGACATTCCTAACATGCAGGGATCCTATAGCACAGAATGTGTCTACACTCTGCCTGCAAAAACCCTCTTTGTTCTCCACCTGAAAAAAAATATAGGCGACCTCTGCTTTGCCTTCTTTATTGTGTCATTTTGACGTAATTGTTCTCCCTGCTTCCTTCTTCCCTTGTCATCTTTTCCTTGACCTTCTTCCTTCCCTTCCTTCTTTCTCTCTTTCTTTTTTATCTCTTTCATCTCTCCCTCCCTCCCTCTTTCTTTCCCCTCCCTTTTCTCTCTTTCTTTCTCTAGTAAAAACAGAAGGGAAATACTTTGGTGTATTGGTCTGAGAGGAGGAAAGTACCATCATCAGCTAAACTGATTCTAGAAGTTTCCTTGAAATTCAAGAATTATTTGCTTCAGTAATTATCACTGTTCTCTGAGAATACCATGACCTATCCACGGCTGTGATTTAGCTCTGCTATCTTCTCTGTCTACATTGCTTTTTACTTTTCTCTTCTCCATATATTCAACACTAATTTCACCTTTATTAACTGTCTTAGTCTGTTTTTTGCTGCTATAACAATACCACAGTCTGGGTTACTTAAAAATAATACAAGTTTATTTGACTCATGGTTCTGGAGGATAGAAAGTTTAAGATTGAGGGACTGCATCTGATAAGAGCCACCATGATTGGCCACCCTGTGGTAGAAGGGCAAGAGAGGATGAGGGGAAGGCTGGCAAAGAGGGAGAGAGAGGGGAGGGAGTTGAACTCATCCTTTGATGAGGAACTCACTCCAGCCATATCAAATCCTCTGCCAGGAAAACAGTACTGACCTTTACATAAGAAGGAACCCAATCGCCTCTTCAAGACCCCACCTCTCAACACTGTGCATTGTAATTGAGTTTGCAGCATGTGAATTTGGGGGGAACCTTCAAATCATAGCACTAATTCTGTCTTGTTTGATTCCTACCTCCCAAGCAACCCTTATGCTTTTTTTATACTTTCTGGGGCTCACAATATTGAACCTACTACCTAAGATTAAAGGTTGTTTCTCCAATTGGATTTTTAGTTTATTCAGAGGAGTGATCATGCCATATCCATTTTTGGTATCTCACTGTTTCCATCTCTCCCAATTCCAACCATAATTGTGCTTTCAAAACACGGAGAAAATTCATTCTGCTCTGGGGATAAGGGCATTTTAACAAAGTTCTAGAACTTCTGAGCTACGGCAAAGATGGTTATATATTTTATAACATTATAGACATTACACAGGACAAAAGAGCTCTTACTGTAAGAAACCTATCTATAATAATGGATCTAGGCTCATTTGATTGTCTCCGTCCAAACCTTAATTCATGATGAATTTCTACGTGAGTATAAAATGTCTTAGTCTGAAAATCCAAGGTAAATCGGGGGAACAGTAAAGTCAGCCCTCAATTAAAATAAAAATCCTTAAAGAAAAATTAGGCTTTCTAGAAGTTTCTCCTATTATGTACATTCTATTCATTCAGATTCTTGTTTACATCTCTACCAGAAGAAAAGAAATGAATGCCTATCATATTCTTCCTCTCCCTCTCTCTCTTTCTTTCTGTTGATAGATTTAGTGACTTGGTTAGAGAAATCAGGAAACTCTCAGGACTAAGAGGAAATTTAGAGACTGTGATTTTCATTGATCCATTTCTTTACATCATCAGTTAATGACAAACCATAAGAACAGATTAATGTATGAAAGGAAGGTCACTATATATCCTCAGAAGAAGACACTTCTTAAAGTTTTAAAAAATGGGAGATCTAAAAATAAAGAGGATGATAGCTAATGAGTGTTTAATATAAACTAAAGATACGATTGAAATGCTGAATAAACAGACCATTCAAAAGAGGGAGATATGTAGACTCAGTGTATCTACCCTTAGTAAACTGCATCCTGCTATGTATGTTTTAAAAGGAAGAAGAAGAGAATTCATGTGTACCTGGATATGCTCTATCAAAAGAGGCGCTTGATTGCTCAGTAATTGCAGAGCTAGGCTCTTGGGGAGGCCTTTGTCATCCCTCCTTGGCTGACACCAGACGATAGTGTAGCTCTGTGATAAGAAACAGAGGACCAGTGTCTCCATGGTAACTAGCTGAACTCTATATATTACACCTCATTACAAATGAGGATAGAGAGTTTATATATATATATATATATGTGTGTGTGTGTGTGTGTGTGTGTGTATATATATATATAATATGTGTGTATATATAAAAATAAATAAGTATTCTGTCTTCTATCTAGGAAGTGAATAGAGTAAAATAAAATAAAAATGCAATTGCACTGAAAGGATAAGGTTGATAGGCCTTTTCCCCCATTGGTACAGGTAAATATTTCATTTTTCAGTTCCTCTGATGGTTTTATTCTGAACCCACCCAGCTGTAGCTTGAAAGATTAATGATGGGGAGCAAAAGGACCTGAGAAGAGGCAGTGAATGAATAGAAACCAGCACCAGAGAAGAAAGAATACTGCTTGGCCTTTGGGGAAAATAAATAAGGATTTACTAAGTCTGCTAGTTTCATTCCCATAACAGGAAAACCTGGAACCCATTAGAATGGAAACCTAGAGACTTCTATAATGTAATGATTCCTAAGAGTTCCAAACTTGCACAGTTTAGTGACAAGAAAAAAAAAAAGAAAGAGGGAAAGAAAATCAGTGGTTTCCTTTCTAATTTTCTCTTCTGTAGATATTGATTTTACTTTAACACAGCTACCTTTACTATGTGTCTCCTCACATCAGACCATTACATCCATGTGTAGGTCTTTATAAGGTTAAATACATTTCCTGAAAACTTAGCCAGCCTGTGTCATGCAGAAAGAAAAAGACAAAATTAAAGAAGTCATCAGTGAGTTAACTATTAACACTAGAAATTAAAACTTTTTATTCAAGGCACAGAATGCACATATTTGCTCAGAGAACAAAGACCTAGGGGCATTTTGTAAGTGTTATTTTATCTTTGATGTATTAGTCCATCTGTTCTTAGATAAATGACTTTAAGCTCTGAAGCAAAGGCCCTTGGTAGCCCAGCAGGGATTTCTGCTGATTCTTAAGGTTGGTTCCTTCCCTACATATGTCTTTTTCTCTTCCAGTGTAATTTCTGAGCAAGTATTTGGGTTATTGCTAGAAAGAACATAAATGTATTTTAAAAACAACAACAAAAATAACTATCTCACCTAATCTAAGTAACATAATGTTCTACCTTTCAGGGTCTTCTTACTGATTTCTTGCTCTTCTATGTGGCTTGTGAAAACTCTATTAATCTTCCATGGTAAGTGCATTACCCACAAAGGGGGGTGGGTAAATAGATACATATCCAAAACAGAATGAAAACATATGTCTACACTAAAACCTTTACACAAATGTACACAGCAGCATTACTCATGATAACCAAAAGGTCAAAACAACCCAGATGTCCATCAGCTGATAAATGGATAAAAATGTGATATATCCTTATAATAGAATACTGCTCAGCAATAAAAAGAAATGAAGTACTGACACATGCTACAATATGGCTGAACTTGGAAAACATGCAGAATGAAGGAAGTCTGGTATAAAAGCCAACTTTACTGAATAATTACCTTATAGAAAGTTTCAAGAACAGGCAAATCCATACAATCAAAAAAATTGAGGAGTGGATGCACAGAGTTTGTGGGGTTGGGGAGCTGGGGTGACTGCTAAAGGGTACAGGGTTTCTTTGGGAGATGGTAAAAATGCTCCAAGATGGACTTGTTGATGGTGGCAACTGTGAATTTTTTGGTGGCAAACTGTGAATTGGTTGATGGTTACAAAACATCGAATTGGACATTTTAAGAGGTTGAATTGCCTAGTATAATTTTTTATCTCAAAGCTATTGCAAAACTAAGGAATGTAGGTGTGGAGGAAAATAATGATCTATTAACTAGGTTGACCATTATATCCTGATTGCTTAGAATTGTGTATGTTTTGGACAGTGGACCAATGAATTATGAATATCCCTGCTTTGACTTTTAAAATGTCTTTTGGGGATGACAAACCATGTGGTCACTATTATGATTTGGATCTAGAATGTATCCCAAATGTCCCTCTGTTGAATGAATGCAGCAGTGTTCAGAGGTGGCTTTTGGAAAGTGACTGGGTCCTGAGGGCTTTAACCTCATCAGTGGGTTCATCCATTCATAGGCTGATGACATTATTGGGCAGTGGTGGAACTCGAGGAAGTGGGACTTAGTTGGAGAAAGTGGGTCATTGGAGGTGTGATCTCTCAGGGTCTACCTTGACCCAGCCCTTTCCTTTTTCTCTCATTCTCTGCTTCCTGGCTGCCTTGAAGTGAACATCCTTCCTCAGACACGCCTCCACCCTGATGTTCTGTCTCACCTCAAGCCTAGAGCAATGGAACCAGCCACCTATGGGCTGAAACCTCTGAAACCATGAGGCAACATAAACCTTCCCTCCTCTAAATTGTTTTTCTCAGGTATTTTGTCCCAATGATGAAAAGCTAACATAGTCACCATATATGAAACCACACATATTATGACCTTCTACAGTGTATATTAAAATTTCCTAATCAAAATATTACATAGAGTTCTTTTAAAAATAAAGATGCTTATATCCTTCCCATGGATTCCAGTTCAGTAGGGCAGGGGTAGAAACTCATGTTTGTGTTTTAACAATTATCCTGGTGATTCTTACAAATTGTTGGCATTCATTATTCCACGTGCCTATAAAATGAGGTGACCAAATTGCCTTTGGGGCCAAATAGAATTCCAAAGAGATATGAGAATGTTATTTCAGGAAATTTTGTTGATTACAGAAGGCTAGAAACAAATTCTGACTACGAGGAAAATGAAGAGAAAAAGAAATTAACTAAGCACAGTGATGGTTCCAAGAAAAATCCTTCTCTCCTTTCCCCTCTGGATCAGAAAACAGATCTAACATCTATTGTTCAGTAATGATGAATAAAGACTAGCACCAAGAATGGTCCAGTTGGAAATTTCTTCTCTAAAAAGTGGCCAACGGGAGAGAGAGATGGGTCCCGGGGTGGCCCTGGCTGCTGCTGTTTTATCTCTGGACCTGATATCCAGAATCATAACTCAGACTTTTCTGTCCAATTCTATTCCACAGTCCCTAACACAGAATTTTATTGTTGTGAGCCCTTATACCCAGTTTTGGAGACAAAAAGCAGGACCCTGATGTAAAGCAGAGAAACAGAAAAATGCAAGAAACTTCAGCATCAGGACAATTTTTTTTAAAAAAAGATTATAAAAGAAAGAAATGAAACTGGGTCATAATTTTAAAGTAAATATAAGCAGTAGTTTGGATCATAATATGAACCAAACCTTGATAAAATGTAATCTGTCATATGCCTACTGTATGCAGATTATTATTATTTCCTCTTAGAGAGTTTCCTGAGAATATGCAGATTAGTAAGTACTTGAAATTATTTGTGACTCCTTTGTCTACAACTTAACTTCTGCTTGAGGATGCTAAGTCTTCACTGTTTGTTCACATGGAAGAACTCTTGACACTTTCAAAGTCTGAAACAAAAACTGCACTTTCCCACATATGTAGAATCATCAGAAAATTTTTTTAAGGAGAAGGAAAAAGTCATTACCAACCTGTTTTCTCATTTGGACAGATTGCTTTAATTCATATTCTTTTGTTGCTTCTTTAATCAATCAAGAAAAAGTTCTCCTGCAGATTCAGAGCTCAGAAGTATACTCCTCCTTGCTCCTGTCCATGCTCAAGCCTCCTGATCTCTGGGGAAAAGGTTGACATCTGGGTAAATTTCTTTGTTTCACTTTGTTCCAACAAACTGTTTGAAATGTTCAGGCTTTTTACTGAAATTTGAGTCCTTTTTTTTGTCTCTTAGGTACTGCCTAAAATGTTCCAGTATTTTGAAAAGGATTCCTAATTAGGTTGAGGGACCTCCAGGATGAGTATTATTATTATTAAATAACACAAATTAAACTTCTATGATTTCCAAGCTGCTACTTTTTAATGAAACATTCCATGCATGCCTTTTAGGCTCCTACAGAATATTAGCAAGATCTATTAACTCAGCAGATCAAAGTACCAATATTAGCTATCACAGGAATATTTAGATGTCTAGCTTTGGTGCATCTGCAGGATGAGTTACCCATGGACTGGCAGCATAAGCAGTAACTTAGCATTACTCAAAAAATAGTTGGGGTTGCTGGGGTTGTGGCTTAGTGGTAGATCACTCGCCTAGCACATGTGAGGTGCTGGGTTCGATCCTCAGCACCACATAAATAAATAAAGATATTGTATTCAATTACCACTAAAAAAACCCATATATTAAAAAAAGGCAATTGGGAAAGGCTTTAAAACATTTTAACCAAATGTTTAAAACATTTTAATAATGTTTTGAACGACCAACAATAAAAAAAAAACATTTTAAAATTTTAGTCTAGTGATACAGTTTTATTAGATCCTTGTAAGCATCCGAAATGAAAAGCATTTTTCTAGAGGAAAAACCTCAGATGAGATCCTTAAGTAATGAAATAGCCGCAGGTTTAGTAGACTCACACACATGAAGTTTGGCAGAGCTTGAAGATGATGGACAGCTGGCATCAGAAATAAGATCAATACTAAGCCAGATCATAGACCTGAATTTTGATTATAGTTAGAAAATGGGGCCTACTGAACAATGAAGATTTCAATCAAGAAAAACATTAGGAAAGCAAACCAGTTTTTAAAATAATTCTGATGTATTTTAGGAATAATTTTATTGAACTTGAAATCAGAAAATAACAATAACTAATAGTTTATTTGATGCTTCTCCTGGTTCTGATTCAGTATTTCAGTTCTAGGCTTCTGTTAAGGTTCAATCAACCCCAACAATGAACCAGGGGTAAGCTATGATAAGGTCTTCCATTTCAAATAAATGCAAATCACATTGAACTAGAGAAAGGTATAAAGTTCATTTAAGGTATTGGTGTGTTTGTAGAAGACCTGGATGAGTGGAAAAACAGGGTGACAATAAAGGACAAAGACTCTGATATAAGGACAGACATTATTTTGTCTACTTTTTTTTTTCAATGTGACTGTAGGTGGGCCTGTGAGTTAATCTAAATGACCTTTGATAGGCCTATGGTTAGCTTTAGGAGCTATTACCAGTTTTCTAAAGTGATTTCATCATTTTACATGCCCACTGTCTTTTTGTGTGGGGGATGGGGCAGGTACTGGGGATTGAACCTAGGAGTTTGGAATTGCTAGACAAGTGCTCTCTACCACTGAGTTACAATCCCAGCACTTTTTTCTAATTTTTAATTTGAGATAGGATGTTGCTAAGTTGCCAGGCTGGCCTCAAACTTAGATCTTCCTGCCTCGGCCTTATAAGTAGCAAGGATTATAAACTTGTACCTGTCTGTCATTAGTTATTAGCAATTCAGTATCTCCATGTTCTAGTGAGTGTGTGGTGGCTTCTCATTGTACTTTTATTTTGTATTGCCCTGATGACAAATTTTATGTGGTCCTTTTCATATTTTTCTTAGATTTTTGGATATCAGTACCTGTTCCTATTTCTTGTCTACTTTCTTAAAAAATTAGGTTTTTAAGACCTTTTTGTTTCTCTGTACTGATCTGTAATTTAAAAAATATATATCACAGGACATGAGTCTTTTTTAGATGTATGTATTACATTCTTCTCCTACTCTTAGGTTTGCTGTTTCACTCTCTTAATGGTGTCTTTTAATGAACAGAGGTTCTTAATTTAAATGTAGTCAAAGTTTATCAATATTTTTCCTTTATATTTAGCACTTTTATGTTTAAAAAGCCTCTGTCTATCCTAGGTTTTTCTCTAATATTTCAGTGGCTTCATTTTGATATTTAAATCTTATTGAACACTTGTTTTAGTAGGAGATATGAGGTAGGCATCCAATTTATTTTTTCCAAATGTTCTTTTAGTTACCCAAAAGCATTTTTTAGATAATATGTAAAATGCCACCTTTTGTAGGATGTAGCTCAGGTTTAGAGTGCATGCTTAGCATGCAGGAGGGCCTGGGTTTAATCCTCAGCAACACACACACACACACACACACACACACACACACACACCTCTTTAAGGGACTTCCAGTCACAATAAATCTGTAACTTAGCAATGCTCAATAAAATACTAAAACACCAAAAGACTGGTAATCTTAGAAACAAGAAAATTCTCTGTGGATCAAATATAGAGCAAAAAAGAAAAACAATAATTGGAGCTGAAGCAAATGAACTTTGGTTTGTGAGCTTAAAAAAGGGTAGCAATATTTGCTAGGAATAGGCTCTAATAGGGTCTCCAGTGACCCCTGCTTTCTCATATTTATACCCTCTTGAAATCCTCTTCTCTTGAGTGTGGGCAGGACCTGATTCTTATCTAACTAGAGGAATATTACAAAAGTGATGAGATGAAGCTTCTCAGATCAAGTTACAAAAGGATTCTGGCTTCCAACTTGCTGTTCTTTCTTGCCTTTTCCCTCACTTACCTCTAGGGATGCTAACTGTTACATTGTAAGCTGTCCTTAGGGAGACCACATGGCAAGGAATCCACATCTCTTGTGAACCTACAGTAAGGACCTTTGGCTTGTCAACAGCCAGGTGAGTAAGCTTGGAAGCATATGCTTCCCATATGAGCCTTAATATGATTGCATTTATGACTAACAACCTAATTGTAGCTTTGTGAGAAATTCCAACCCAAAAGATACAACTAACCTGAGTCTGGATTCCTGATCCAAAGAAACTATGAAACAGTGAATATTTGTTGTTTGATGTTGCTAAGTGTGAGGGTAATATGTTATACATTAATAGACCTAGCATACCCACAGTGAAGATTTAACAACCTTCAGTATTTGTTTTTAATATGAATCTAATATATATACTTATACAATATTTATATACATAGTATGTTGCCTTTTAAAGACCCTTAGGACATTCACAAAACTCTACATAATAGTTCCTAAAAAAAAAAAAAAAAACTCAACGAATTCCACAAAGAACTAGAACTGATAAAAATCTTCTGATCAAATGGGGAAAAACACCTTGGTAATATTTTTAGAATGATTTCTTAACAACTCTGAGACAAAAGGATATCAAAATCAAAATTACACAATTTATATAAAAAAGCAAGAAGTGATAACAGAAGCATATATCACACACAACAGTGTATGTACACTCATGGGAAAATGTATAACTGTAAACATTTGTGATAATTTATAAGTTATTCAATAGTTCTCACAGAAAAATATATAACCTTTAATAATTGTGTTAATTTATAAGTTTTTCACATAAGAATGAAAGTTTGAGTTTTCAATTCAAGAAAATGGATGGAGCTAACAAACCATTTAGCCAATAAATAGTCTACTTAAGAAAAATGTAGAAAATAAATTAAAAAATTAGAATGGGAAAGAATGAATTCAGAGAAAATAAAAAAATGCTAACAAGTTATTTTGCTGAAGTCTACATATTCGAACCATTATTAAAATGGATATATTTTTAGGAAAGTATGATTCATGAAAGTGTACCTCCTGAGAAGAGAACAAATCTAAATAAACTAAATATCATTAAGATATTAAAGCACATTGGTGCACACCTGTAATCCCAGATAGTTGTGAAGCTGAGGCAGGACAACTCCAAGTTCAAGTCTTCATTCTGCCCTTAATGATTCATATCCTTTACACATGCAAAGAGCACTCATCCCCCATCCCAGCTCCTCAAAGTTACCTTCAATTACAGCATCAGCTTCAAGTTCATCATCTCATCACATAAATCATCCAGGTGAAGATGAGGCTCCCCAGTTGGAATTCCTTAAGAACAACTCCTGTTATTTTTTTCCTATTAGTTCCTCTTGGTCTATAAAACACTTCTCCACCCATAGGCACCTTGCAAGAGAGACAGGTATAGGATAACAATTTTAGATATTTTTTGTTTAAAAAAAAGGAGAAATGGGAGGCACAGGAGAGTCATTGGTCCATTGTAATTCTGAAATTCAATTGTCCCAGCGCTGGAAGTTCTTCTATTAGATCACAAGACCTAGGAATGGTTCTCCATGGCTTTCCGCTCTGGAATCTAGGTCCCTGGTTTCATCCTTGGAGTCACATTTTCTTTTTCAAAGAAATTCTATTGACAGGAAAAACAGACTGAACATCTTCTCAATAGAATTAGGGGTGGGGTGGGGGGGTCTAATGGCCTCATTTAGTTTTATACTGTACTTTTCATTCCCATTCTTGTCAGTTCAAGCTGGCAGAGTTCTTGCAAAAACATTATGGGCTTCCTGTGAATCTCGTTAGGGTTCACTCCATTACACAAAAGTCAAGAGAGAAATCTCTTCTAGATAAGCCGTTCTTAAACCTTAGGCGCATGTTTAGAAGTCTGAGGGACAAAGCTCTTAAGCTTCCCAAAGGCCTATTATTTGATTGAGAGGATCTGTGAAGCACACTCTTAATCCTTTTAAAAAGGTCTTTCCCGTGACCAAATAGTACTGTAAGGGCACCACTTTTTGTCTTTCTTAATCTAACAAAATGTTTTACAATCACATCTTTGACATCATTTTTAGACCAGGATTCTCCTGGCAGTCCCCAGAGTATGATCTTTTTCTGGAAGCCATTTTTTGATGTTTGCATCTTTTAAATCTGGAGAAGCTGAGAATTTTCAAAACCATCAAGTCTTTAACAAACATTCATATAAAATATGTCATCTTAACCATTTTTAAGTGTACTTATTGTGGTATTAAGTACCTATTGTGGTGTAGCCAACACCACTGTCCATCTCGACAATACTTTCATCTTACAAAACTGAAACTATACCTATTAAACAGCAGCTTCCCATTTCTTCCTTCACCAACCCTTGACAACCACCATTCTACTATCTGTATGAATCTGACTACTCTAGGTAGCTCATATAAATGGAATTGTTTTTATTTGTATGACTGCAGTCAGTCATCCATGTTGTAGCATGTTTCATCCATGTTATAGCATGTTTCAGAATTTTCTTTACAATGAATAATATTCTATGGTATGTATATCCTGCATTTTGCTTGTCTATACATCTGTCAATAGATATTTGAATTGCTCCCACCATTCAGCTAATTGTGAATAATGCTGTTATGAACATAGGCATATAAATATCTCTTCAAGACTGATTTCAATTCTTTGTGGAATTGGCAGATCATATGGTAATGCTATTTTTAGATTTTTGAGGAACATCATACTCTTTTCCAAATCACAATTTTACATCCTACACCTTTTTACATCCTTACCAGCAGTGTACAAGTTTCTAGTTTCTTCATATTCTGACCAACATTTTCTATTCTCTCTCTCTCTCTCTCTCTCTCTCTCTCTCTCTCTCTCTCTCTCTCTGCCTTTTTTTTAAACTTTTCACTTAATCA